GACTACGTGGTTCACAGGGCCACCATTCCTCTACAAACCTGTACTTGACACCCTGGAGAAATACTCATTTCAGCTATTAGAACCAAATGCTGATGCAGAGATTCGTCCTCATATTTCTGTACTCACCACAGAGTTTCTCACAAAGAGCTTGGATCCAAACGATTCAACAAGTTTTTCTACGTGGAAATCACTGAACAGAGCTATAGCCGGCTTGATCCACATAGCCAGATTCTTTAGAGCCATACCTACAGGATCAGATCACTGCAAAGGTTGGCATTACTGTCACAAGGCCCATACAGTGGATGAGCTCACACAGGCCAGAGACGTTATCATCCGTTGTATCCAACAAGAGGTTTATACTCAAGAATTTGAACTCATCCAAAATCAAAAGAGTGTTCCTAAAGACAGTTCCCTCAAGAGGCTTGACCCTTTCATAGATGCTAATGGACTGTTGAGAGTTGGGGGACGTATTTCAAATGCAAAGTTCGAGAGTAAAGAATGTAATCCCATAATACTTCCAAGCAATCACATTGCATCTTTACTTGTGCAACACTACCATGAGAAGACTAAACATCAGGGACGTTTGTTCACTGAAGGAGCTTTACGTACAGCTGGATTTTGGGTAGTGGGAGCGAAAAGACTTGTGAGTTGTCTTATTTTCAAATGTGTCACTTGCAAAAAACTACGTGGTATGTTTCAGTCACAGAAGATGGCTAACCTCCCTGCGGACCGACTCAGTATAGAACCTCCCTTTACTAATGTTGGTCTTGACGTGTTTGGTCCCTGGTCTGTCACCACACGGCAAACTAGAGGAGGCCAGGCAAACAGCAAACGCTGGGCAGTCATATTTACATGCATGAGTATCAGGGCTGTGCATATAGAAGTTATCGAGTCTTTAGACACATCCAGCTTTATAAATGCTCTCAGACGTTTCATCTCCATCAGAGGCCCAGTTAAACTAATCCGCTCTGATAGAGATACCAACTTCGTTGGGGCCTGCAAAGAACTGCATATCCCCTCAACATTGACAGTGACCATGTAGAGAGATATCTTGCCGCCCAAGACTGTAAATGGACATTCAACCCCCCACATGCGTCTCACATGGGAGGCTCTTGGGAGCGTATGATTGGCATAGCTCGCCGGATCCTTGATTCTGTCTTTCTACAGCTGGGAACTTCGAGGCTCACCCATGAAACCCTCTCAACCTTCATGGCCGAAGTAGTGGCGATCATGAACGCCAGACCTTTGACTTCAATATCCAGTGATCCAGAAGATCCCTTCTTGCTCACCCCTTCCACTCTTCTCACCCAAAAAGTCGGTACAGCATCGGCTCCTCCTGGCGAATTTAGTGCTAAAGACTTGTACAAGTGTCAGTGGAGACGAGTGCAAACTCTAGCAGATACCTTCTGGGATAAATCGAGAAAACAATACATCTCTACTCTACATGTCCGGAATAAATGGCAAACCAGCAAACCCAACATGGAGGTTGGTAATGTTGTTCTTGTCAAAGACTCTCAGTCAAAAAGAAATGACTGGCCTTTGGGACTGATAACCAAGGTGTTCCCAAGTGAAGATGGGAAAGTCAGAAAAGTGGAGGTCAAGGTCTGCAGACAACAGGAGCCCAAACTCTTTCTCAGACCCGTTACTGAACTGGTTTTGTTGCTCTCTCCAGGGGTGATTTAATGTGGTATCCTTTAGATACCAGACGGGGAGTGTCATGCCTTCAGCAATTTGTTCTTTGTTAATTAGGCATTATTAGTATGCCTTATCAGTTTGTAATTCTCTGTTCATTGTGTAACTGCTCCATCTAGTGGCTGTTTGTATACACTGCATCTTTTCACAGTAGAAGTTTGACCCATTTCAGCTTCCATAGCTTGTAGCCTATGAACTCTGATTACATCATCAGCCCCTGCTCATAGCAGCCATTTCCTCATCACAGACTCCATTCCTGTGGTAACCACGCTGCTGGTAGGATCCAACCCTCACATTCAGGCTCACAATAGCATCGTCGGTACGTCTACACACATGTCTATATCTTATGCATCTGTGTTTTATGTAACCTACATGTCTTATATGTGTTTTATATGTGCATTGCCTTACTGTAATGTATAATATGCTTTATCACATGGCAGACAGTGTTACTAAGCGCCTTATTTTCTGTTCCTCAGTTTCACCTCTTATATCTTTGCAATAAAGACAAAGTTGGACGTTGCTTCTTTGTCAACTCATTGCCGAGAAAGGTTTAGCTGTCTGTCAAGCTATGTACCTTCACACATAAGGAGGACAGAACAATGTGTATGTATGAATGTGACTTAGGGACCTTAGATTGTACACCCTTGAGGGTTAGGGACTGATGTGAATGTTCAATATATATGTAAATTGATGGTGCTATATAAGTACCTGAAATAAATAAATGTTAGAGTAAACCATTGGCTTCTTTATCTTTTAATTCTTGGTTATGTTCCAGCTTAAGCTGGTTCCATATCCTCTGCCCCAGGTTTCCTGTGTCAGGGTGGCTCCTTTCTCTTGCAGCATCCTATGGAGTGGCCCCTTGCATGCAGGGACTAGAGCTGTGTCTCCCTACACTGTGTGCGTCAACAGAAACACACAGCAATATCGCCTAGGATGGCAAGGCACTCCTCCGCTCCTCCCACCTCCCTTCTCCAAGCTAACAACCTGACTCCAGCCTGCACTGTACACTGTAAAAATATTTCCTATGGATACCGGAAGTTCAGGGAAGCAGCACTGACAGAGCAGAAACCAGCAAAGAAAGCTTTTAGCTGGGGTAAGAATATTAAACGTTTACTGGGAAGTGTTTATTTTATTTTGCTCAGTGTGTTAAACTATAAAAACACTGAGGGTTTAATACTAGTTAAAGGTTTAAAACCCATCTTCATATAAAACTTTTTGTTTTTATTTCTGACAGAGTGTAAATATCCAATTTGAAAGAGGTTGGCTACAGGGTGTTCAAAGCTGCTAAAATCGTCTGTATTGCATATCCATTAAGAGTATTATTATTATTATACAGGATTTATATAGCGCCAACAGCTTATGCAGCACTTTACAATATAAAGGGGGACAGTACAATTACAATAGTTCAGTACAGAAGGAATAGGAGAGTCTGCTCCTGGAGCAGGGGCGGACTGACAACTCATGGGGCCCCAGGGCAATAGGGGATCATGGGGCCCCAGGGCAATAGGGGATCATGGGGCCATTGTGTCCTTGCCCAAACTCAAAAAAGCCTATGAAAACGGTACCAAGGGCATCTCATGGGACCCCCTACTGACCCCGGGCCCTCGGGCAGTGCCCGAGTTTCCAAATGGTCAGTCCGCCCTTGTCATGGATCTTACAATCTAAAGGAAAGGGGAGGTGCTACACAAAAGGTGATAGGTGCAGGGATTGACGGAGGTGACTCAAGTACAGTTCTTAGGTGGAGGTTGGGTAGTCTTCCCTGAATCAGGGCTGTCTTAATAGCATCATGGTCCTCTGAGCAAATGAATGCCCTTACCAGCCTGCCCCACTTTACACACCTGCTCTCAAGAATTAAAGTATAAATAGCTGATAGAATTAAATATATATTTATTGATACTTTCAATCAATTGATTTTAAACAATAAGAAAACATGCCATGAATTGAAGACTAATCAACACAAAGGGCACAGTATGGGGGGACAGAAGGGCTCAATACAGGGAGGGGGAATTAGGAGAGCACAACAGGGGATCAGGAGTGCACAGTACAGGTTTCAGGACGCTACCTAGGACATGGCGATCCCAGGACAGCTTGATAAATAGCATGACTGTCCCAGCAAATTCGGGACAGTTGGCAAATATGTTGTGATGGAAGATTATCCTGGGGCCCCCATGCACTTTGGGCCACTGGGGGTGCCCATTCATTGAGATGGCCCTGCCCTGAATAAGTTAGTTTTCTAAGATCGCCTAAAAGCGGACAGGGTATAAAGAGTATAAAGGATCCAAAGAATACTGACACATTTCAGTCCTTACAGGTTTTAGCCATAACACAACACACCTACATTATATTTGGAGTTTATAGGTAGTAGCACCACATCTTTGTACTATAGCCTTTAAAGTGAGGACCCTGCATTCACTATATCTGGTCTCCCACGGTACACACAACATGGAAATGCAATTATTTTAGTAAATGTAAACTGCTAAATACCTTTTCTCATCAGCAGTCCAAGCAGTCTTGTGACTTCAGCAGAGCAATGGTTAAAGCTTGTAGGAGGAGTTTTCTTTCTGCCCTAGGAGGATACAAAACCCCTGACCTCTGTCTGGACAGTGCTGATTGGCCCTGTGCTGATCACATGCACTCTCCCAAGAAAAAAAAACCCTCTCTAGCAATACACACTAAACTGAGCATGTGTATGTGACTATGGGTTCAGTCTGTCTTATCAGGTGGACATCTGAACAAGAGGGGCAGAGAAGAAAAGATCAAACATCCTTTTTACACAATGCAGAGGATTAACTCCTTAGGTTCCACAGTGAGTATAACAAGCATGCTTTACTGCATATACAGACTGATGTTACTGTTGTGGGTTTAGTAACACTTTAAATATGTTTGAACTTCTTTGGTTTTCTAAGTGAAATCTAGATCACTCCTGTAACTGTTCTAAAACACACAGAAACCCACAGCACACTGTCACTGCGGACAACTCTGAGCTGTGAACATTTGCTTTCTAGAGTCACATTTACCATTCTACCTATCCATCCTCTGCACTCTAGAGGGCGCGCTACTTGTATCTTCTTTGTATCCTGTACTCCCGGCGCTTGTGTGATTGGTGTGCACTCAGACACTAGAGTAGAAGCCGCTGTCTGACTTCCGTCCGCTACTTATCGTTACTCAGCCAGCCAAAAAGATTGAAGTTCATTATATGGTGACATAAGATCTCCAACAAAATGGCCGCATCTCACCGGAAAAAGACAACCCTGTAGGTTTCGGTTCCAGTCCAAAATCCGGAAGTTGTATTGTGTGTGCGTTTCAGCATGGCGGCTGTGGATATAAGAGGTGAGGCTTTCTGCTTCTCTTTTGTTTTTTTTTGCTCCGAATGAAGTAGATAATGCATTGTATAGTTTCATTATTAGCAGTGTGCCTGTTGGGGAAGGTGTGGGGACAGGGTGTGCCTGTATCATGTGCTGGGAGCTCTCAGTCCCCCCACTCTGACAGAATCTGGGATGGAAAGCCCTCATCAGGGTCACACTGGTAATGACTGTCACTTGCACATTCTGTCTGCTGATGTTTGGGATTTTACATTTGTAGACAATTTGCTGGGCATCTCCTGGGTGGACAGTTCCTGGATCCCCATACTGAACAATGGCACCGTCCTGGACTACTTCTCAGAACGAAGCAACCCATTCTACGACAGGACGTGTAATAATGAAGTGGTGAAGATGCAGAGGTTAACTCTAGACCATCTGAAGTAAGCTGGGCTGGATGTGGTGGCAGATGTGTACACAATGCCCTGTATTGTATACCATGGTGAGCCGTGTAATCAGGAGTGTGTACCAGGCATCATTGTCAAATATACAAAGGAAGCTATTAAAGCCGTGTAAACCCAAAGCCAAAAACGGAATCTATTGCAGCTTACCAGTCCTTAGATGTGGTGGTTGCATTAGTTTTCTTTTTTAGACCTTTTTTTTTTCCTCTTGTTTTAACCTGGTGATCTGTCCAGTAACACACCATCTATATTAGAGTGCCCCCATTCTGGATGAAGGAGCACAGGGGGCACCTTTAGACAGCAGCATTGTCAGTCTGGCTGAAGGGGAGTGTTCGATGTACTAGCAGTTTTAGACAAATTGAAGACAAACACCAGCTTATCCTTTATAAACCGTATTTGTTTCTTTTTGGACAAAGCATTTTTACATAAATAAAAGCTGATAATTTTAATCCAACATTGGTAAATGGTTTTCCTCAACCCTCCAGACAGCTTTTTCTGTTAAACAAAAAAAAAAAACATACTTACTGGCCAGATCACCAGGTGAAAATAAAAGAAAGCCTAAAAAGAAAACACAGATCTACTTGGTAAGCTGCTCTATATATATATCAGTAATATGGGTGGAGTGCACAACGATGATCAATTACAGTGCATAGCAATCGGGCCCTCCCAAAGGCCATATATAGAAAAAATAAATTTTATATTTGTATGTATGTGTATGCGTATTAAAAAAAGTTTCTTTTTTTTACATATGGCCTTTGGGAGGGCCTGATTGCTATGCACTGTGATTGATCATCGTTGTGCACTCCACCCATATTTTTTTATATATATATATATATATATATATATATATATATATATATATATATACACAATTAATTTTTTTTGTTTAATACTTCTTTAAACCAGACCTTCACTGCAGCTTTAGTCCCCTCCCCCACTCCTTGTCCGCACCATCATCACATGTACGTAGGTGTGCCACAGGGCTCTGTCAGGTATTTTAGAGCTGGCATCAACCTGTTTCATGTCTGTGTACACACTGGGGATCCAGGCACTTGCACACAGATGCTGTCAGTTTTTACATATTGGGCATATGGAGACCAATGTTATCTGTGCACATGCGCTGGGATTGTGGCACATGCACAGCCTTGATTATAGCAGTGTCTTGTCTGCACATTGTCTGCTTCCAGTGTGCACATGCCAGTGATAAAATGCTGCCTCCTGGGATGTGTGACACCGTAATCCCAGGAGACAGTAAGGGGGGCAGCACAAGGCCAGAAAGTATGAAATGCTGCTTTGCAGCACAAAGAGTAGTGTACCATACAGAAATATATTATCTTTTTTTTTCCAGCTCTGTAAGAGGGAGGAGGATGGAATCCGAGTGCTATAAGCTGTTATAATGGATTAAGTTCCCCTTTAATCCCGTACTCCAGGTATGATTTCTATTACATAGTTACATTGATCCAGCTTGGACCAATGTAAATATACATTTTGCATACCTGTGGGACATCTAGGGAAGCACAGAATACTTCAGGTATGCTGACTAGTACAGTCAATCACTGCAGTGTTCTGGGTCCTGTGTGGTGCATCATGTAGGGAATATGTATAATAAATAATAAATATAAAGTGCAGCACTGAGGTAGTAAAACAGCTGTGAAAGATCCAGTAGAAATGACAGAAACGAGGGAAACGACACCTGCTGATCTTAATACATACATGAGCATTTCCTATGCTCGGTCGGTGAGTGCGCATTTCTGTAATTTCTACTGGATCTTTCACAGCTGTGTTACTACCTGGTTGTCGCTATATCAATTGCATGAACTTTTTTGAATGAACTGTTGGTTTGACATTTTCAGCGCTGCACTTTATATTATTTATTATTTAAACGTAAGGCGGTTGAGATCCCCTTTAGTGCTTTAGCTGCTTATCCATTCATTTATATTTAAGGAGCGCTCGCTTTATTATATTATATATTTTAGGGAATATGTATACTTACATTGATTCAAGATGAACCACTGTAACTATGCAATAAAATCCACACTTGGCATTTTAACTTTAAGCCAAAACGGTTTTTTTTTGTGCACACTTCAAGTTTAACAAGTTACTTCTAATGATGAATATCCCAAGTCTTGGTCACTGCTTTAATTGATACCTCAAAGTACATCCAGTGCTATACTGGCTCCTACAGGGAAGAGTTCCTGGCAAAGGTTAGTAGCAATTGGGATGCTGTGTGCAGCCGTGTCCTTTTTTATTAATTATTATTCATAATATTATTTTGAACTGGTGTATATACTGGAATGACAACATTTATAATGAACCATCCATGTCATGTAAAGCATGAATTGCATAATGGAATGCACACTGCCTTTTTTGGAATACCTGATTCCAGTCAATTCGTTTTTGTTTTCCAATGTTTTGATAGGGTGAGGACACGGAAGAGCTTCGTTTTTTTTTTTTTTACTTATTCCACTGTGTGACCTATTTGAGAAGATTTCCCTCACTTCCTGTACCATGATGCCCATACAATAAATTGGTGGTATTGGGGTCATTGGCACAGGAATGTAAGGACAGTGGTTAAAAAAAAAAAAAAATTTAAGTTCTAACTAAAAATATGTTTTGGCCCCAATATGCAGATTTTCTGTCCTGAAAGGGATTGAAAGGAAATCTCCCCAATAGGGACACAGACTGTAATAAAACCTTGACAGAGGTTCTAATCCTTCTCTGCCCTATCAAAAAAAACAAAAAAAACAAGGTGTTGTCTAGCGTTTGGTTTTCATGTATTTGAAACGGAGCAGCAGGATTGCATGCCTTGCCTCAACAACTTCCCTCTCTGCTCATGTATCCTGCAGATATTATGATGTTGACAGTTGTAAACTGAGACATGCAAATCCCATTTTCTGAGTTGTGATGACCCATTCAGACTACTGCTGTATGAACATGCATTGTCCATTCATTGTGTATGACCTGCCATAACACAGCTACAGACCTAAAAATGCACATGGACCCTTTTTCTCACCTTTGTGCACCACAATGCAGAGATTGTTCTGTGTATTAGGGTACTATCTACAATGGGGCCTTAAAGCAAAATCTCTAATATGTAAACATACAGTCTGAGTGTTGAAGGCCTCTAGTAAAGCTGCTATGTCTTTGATTCGTGTTGCTTCTGTTTCTTATTATTTTGCATGTGTGTTTTTAGTCAGATGGTTGGCGTGGAATATATATTGTTACATGCACAAGAGCCTATATTGTTCATCATCAGAAAACAACAGAGACAGTCTCCTACACAGGGTGAGTACATCATGCTGTATGTTCGTTGGCTTCATAGAACATTCAATTATTGTCATTTCATAATTTTAGGAAGGCCAAATTTATAGATTTATATTGCACTAGGTGAACCCTTAAAACTTTGTGAGCACTATGAAGACCTTCACACCTCCTGAAAAGCGATAAAAAATTTAAAATAAAAGACTGTAATAGTTAAACTAAATAAGTGCAAACATTCTATATTATCACCCCTAATTTTAGTGATTAATAGTGGCGCATGATATATGCGACACATTAAACTAATTCGCATTCATGTGTGTCATTTTCTGTCTTCATTAACATTCCTGTAACATAAACATAATCTGCACAAAAAAAAAAAATTTAAAAACATACAGTAAGGGAAATAAGTATTTGATCCTCTGCTGATTTTGACGCTGCCAGGTTGTACCTCAGACTGTCCAGGAGCTCAGTGATGCCCTGGTCCAGATCTGGGAGGAAATACCCCAGGACACATCCACAGTCTCATTAGGAGAATGCCCCAATGGTGTCAGGCATGCATACAATCACGTGCGGGCCATACAAACTACTGAGTACCATTTTGAGTTGCTGCAATGAAATTTCAGCAAAATGGACTAGCCTGCTGCATCATCTTTTCACTTTTGGGGTGTCCTCTGTAGCTTGATAATTTTCATCAAACGATGGGGCATCCTTACGTTCCTAACCCATTACCCAGTCCATATCAGTATAGATGTCCAGCATGATATTTTTCCCCATTGAGATCTGATGTGTTTTCAAAGTGTTCCTTTTAAATATTTTGAGCAGTGTGTATATGTATGTATTTTATATATATATATATATATATATATATATATACTGTATATACTGTATATGTGACTAAAAAACAAACAGTGATGTTACCAAAAAAATTATATTATAAATAATAAGTCCCGTGATGAAAAAAAATGTAAAGTCCAAAATATTGCACTTACAGCAATTAAAAATTCGAGCATGACGGTGCGGCGGACCGGAAGTGACACATATCCGTAACCAGAAGTGATGTGACGGCGTTCTGTCCGACAGATCTGGAGGTGGTGAGAGCACCATGCGGCATCTGAGTCACTGAATGATATGTTTTAAAAGGCTTATTGAATTTTTAATTGCTGTAAGTGCAATATTTGGCTTATTAAAGTTGTGTACCTGGGGTAATACACGATTGGAGCTAAAAAAAATTTCTCTTTCTATGTAACAATGGAATACAGTATTTACTATGATCCTGGCAACCATTCATGATAAAGGGTGATTCTTGGAGGAACCTCTTGATCCCAACAATTGGATACTTTTATGATCAGGCTAATAAAGGCTTTGTTCTGGTGAGTGCACACCTGAGAGGGGGTGCATGACGGGCACAGCACATGGTTTCAACGTATTGATATATTTTCACTGGAAATTATTTTTAAAGTAGACTCACATTGTGGAAATTATATTGGACTTTTAATTTTTTTTTTCATCTCGGGACTTATTTATAATATATATAATTTTTTTAGAAACATCACTGTTTGTTTTTTAGTCACATGTTTTTTAATTTTTTTTTTTGTGCACATTATGTTTATGTTACAGGAATGTTAATGAAGACAGAAAATAACACACATGAATGCGAATTAGAGTTTAAAGTGTCACATATATCATGCGCCGCTATTAATCACTTAAATTAGGGGTGATAATATAGAATGTATGTTTGATATTGAAAGAAAAGTGGAAGCAATACAGTATAATTGAGAAGTTTGTTTAGTAGCATTTGGCGCGATTTAGTGATCCTAAATTAATTTTTTCTGAGGGGTCACTTATAAGGAAATAAGTGCATACATATGCCCTATGAAGACCCTCACTCCTCTGAAGGGCAATCAAAATTTGAAAAAAATTAATTGAATAAACTGAGTACAGTAAAAATACGTGTAAGAAACTGTAATATGTGGTCAAATTAACCTAAAATTTCATGCGTTATCTATGAGCCCTATGAAGACCCTTCATTCATAGGGCATATGTTTGCACTTATTTAGTTTAACTATTAGTGTTTTATTTTAAATTTGTTATCGCTTTTCAGAGGTGTGAAGGTCTTTATAGTGCTCACAAAGTTTTAAGTGTTCACCTAGCTCAGTATCCATTCGAATCAGCCTTTTAAAAGACGTTATCCTCTTATATACTTGCAGCTTTGTGACTTCAGTTGATTGGGGATTTGCACAGTTTGATCTTACATACATTATAGATTTACATGACTGATCTGTAAAAATGGAAAGAAAGAAAGGTGTTGCATTTGGCGCTCAACTCTGGGCCCATGTCTCATGACTTGAGGAATCCTTGATTGGGCTGGATTAAGTGTGATATTGTGAGCTGTTACAACAAAATCACTAATGTAGCGGCTTTTTAATAATCTAGATTATGATCTGACATTTCAGTGCTTGTGATGATGGCACTCCTAATCACACTGGGAGTCCCTGCTGTAGGGCAATATCCAGTAATATTTTGGTAACATTATAGCAGTAGTAGATTTATGCATGTGTGCTAATACATGATTTACTTCTGTTTGATTTATTGTAACATCAAAATAATCTAGAATTCTGTTTTCAGCTATACCGCTGGCGGATTATTACATCATCGCAGGGGTAATCTACCAGGCTCCAGATCTGGGAACAGTTATCAATTCTAGAGTTGTAAGATCTGTTATATTTCATCATTTATAGTCTTCTGGCTTCTAGATCTCAAAACAGCTGCTATAAAACTCATAAGCGTTTATTTGCGTTTTATAAAAAGGGTTGGACATCTGTCCCTAACTGCAGGTGACCCCTGGATGTGCAGATACATGCAGACAAATATGGCTCCTGTCTTTGCTTTGCACAGGCTTCTTGTCTGCAGTTTACATATACCTGTGATCCCAGTCCCAAAAGTCCACTGATTCTTGCTGCAGTTATCTGTTGTATGACTCAACCACTCATGAACATGTAGCCTTATCCCCTGGAAAAAAATCATAGGTTTTGTGAGAAGTAAACTAGTAACATTGTCAGAAATAACATATTTCAAATGGGTGTGAACATGAGCAGCATAGAGAAGGCACAAAGAAAAAAAAAAAAAGGTACGGGGGGTGGTGGTGGTGTGGAAGGCTACAACGAGAGGACTGGGGGAGGTGAGGGGCCCTAGGGATCAGATATAGAGAATTATCAGATTGTTGAGGTTGCTTGTCCCTTCAGATGTCACATGAACTGTCATGATCGGTTGTCAAAAGCTGTGTACTAATCAGGTTATTATATGATCACTCTGAAAGCGATTTTTGTCTGATTTTCTGATCGTGTGTACTAGGCATAAGATATCCAAGGCTACCAAACAAGGAGGGACTTACGGTACTGTGGGTATGGGCCAGGATTGCTGTTAGTTTTTCATTTTATCATGATATCTCTTAACCTGTTTTTTACTGCTTCAAAACTTAGGATGGGGGACTTTTCAGACCCTAGCTATTGCGAGTCATCATAGCCAGATTTTCACGTGATTAATCACACCCACAATTTGTAAATTTAATTCCTTTTGAGATTTTGTTCCTGATTTTTTTTTTTTTTTTTTTTTTTTTTCTGATCCTTTTAGTGTTGGTTCAGCTAAATGTTGCATTCTTCAAGGCTGCCTTAGGATGTTCTAGCACAAGTGGCAGGCACAGTCTGGTTATGGTGGGCTGCTTATTTCTTTTTCTCTTTTTTTTTTTTTTTTTTTTTTTTTCTTTTCTTTCTTATCACCCATGGCAGTCACATGTGGCAATCTGACAAGTGATTTATAGGTGACTTTATTAATTTGGGCAACTGACCCTGAACATGTATACACATCAGGCTTTTGAATTCATTCTGACTGTCTGATCTACTTACATGTTCCTGGGCAGTGACTCAGAAAGTAAAGAAGCCAGAGACAGCTAGACAACTAGGCCCATAATGGCACACATTGTATGTACATGTTTCTTTTAAATATATTTGGGAAGATTAAATATGTGCAGCAGATTTGTCAGAAAATGTTACTAAGGTGAACCTAGGCTTTAGGTGATTTTAGTAGCATAGTTTGGGGGTTTAAGATTAAAAGTATAACTTTGTGTCATGTATGATGTTCGTTAACCTAGGGCTGTAAGTTTAGCATTTAATCTGTAAACTGAAGTCCACATTGATGTTTCAGCTGACCGCAGTTCATGGGATCCAGTCTGCATTTGATGAAGCCATGTCTTACTGCCGGTATCATCCTTCTAAAGGCTATTGGTGGCACTTCAAAGACCAGGAAGAGCGAGGTACATGAACACTTACTATTTCCGTTAATGTTTCAGGCATATGATACAGAATTTCTGGTTTCTTACAAATATTATATAGAAACGGAACACTTTACCTTTCAGTAATACCATGCATACACTTGTGTAAACAGCACTGATATGCAGTAATCCACAGTGGCCCATTACACTTTAGCCCCATCAGTTTAACCCATTCACAACAATAATGAAACTAATTGTTTACCATGGGTTGCTGTAGTTTGTATGCGTTTTTTTTTTTTTTTTTTTTGTCCTATTATTTAAACATTGATGCCTTGTGTAAAGTGTTTCTAAATTCAAATTTATTTATTTTTTTACCTTATTGCATTCCCTGCAATAAAATAAAAAAAAAACAAAACCTTACACTAGCTTTTTTTTTTTTTTTTTTTTTTTTGCACTGTTCCTTAAAAAACATTTGATCACTTTTATTCTTAAGAAATGCATACATCCCTTGTGATAGAAATAATTAGTGACAGGTTCTCTTTATGGAGAGATATGGGGTCAATAAGACCCCATATCTCTTCTCTGCAATATAAAGCATTGGATCAAAAAAAAGCATTGATCTAGTGCTTTAAAAAGAAAAATGTTCAGAATGGGAAGTGACATCACTCCGGTCCTCCAAGTGTATAGAGATGTGTGGCAGCCATCTTTCTTTCACTCATCTCTATGCCCAGCACTGGGATCGATGGTTTCTCAGGTAAGGCTGAACTACCGGGCGACGGCGAGCGAGAGGCAGGGTTTTTTCGGCACCTGTATCGGTGCTTTTTGTTTTGTTTTTTTTTGGTTTTTTTCGACCAAAGGCCGCAAGGGGTGTTTTTGGCCGAAACATTTTGGCCAGTGAAATTTCGGTGCATCCCTACTGTTGAGCCATCTGCTCCTGCTGTTGTCAGTCAAATTCTGTCAGGAGGGAGCCTTGTCTATGGACACACACAGCCCTGCACAGGTGCCTCTTTAGCATATGGCTTGCGGAGAAGAGAATGCTGGCTGGGGACTTCAGAAGAAGAGATGTGGACTGCTCTATGCAATATCTTTGCACAGAGCAGGTAAGTTTATCATCTTTTTTTTATTTTAGAGGGGGGAAAAAAGCACTCCTTTACAGCTGCTTTAACTATTTGATCATCCCTGTCACAATGTCAGTGCTGCTGTAAAGGCCAATTTTTCTGAACTGGAGTTGAAGTGATACATGTGTTAACTGCATCACTTTCAAAGGAAATGCTTCATGTATCGGGGTTGATTTACTAAAGGAATAAAGACTTTATTTTCAATGTGGATGTCTAATATGCAAGCAAAAATCCTCCTGATTTTTTTTTTTTTTTTTTTTTTTTTTTTTCTTATTTTTTTATTTCTTGCACTGGATTAGGTATTCTGAGTGAGCACAAGTTTACTTTATTTACGAAGCTGTGAACATACATTTAAAGAAAGTGAACAGCCTCTACTCCTTTAGTGAAGGAACCCCACAGTTTTCTTGATCGGACATACTTCCTGCTAGTGATCACCAGCTTTCTGTTTAATACTCTAGGGTGTATTCCTTCTACAAGGTCCTAATGCTATCCCTTATCCTAAATAATTTTTTCTTATATGCCAGCAGTGGCTGGTAACTTGAGAATGCTACTTAATGGATTGTCTTTGTTCAGTGAGCTTCTACAGAAATATATTGCTGACTAATCAGTATTTCCAGGATCAGGAGTAACTTGTTTTAACACAACCTGGCTTAGGTCAAAATTCACTCTTTAACCTGTTGGCGCTGAGAGCACGCACATATGCGGTCTCTCGGCAGCCGGGCCTTGGCGCTGAGGGGCTGCATGTTTGCGTACCCAATGTAAACAAAGGATGTGACGAGAGTGCACGCTCCCAGTAAATATACCGGGCCTCGTGGAAAGGCCCTGAGAGCTACTTGTGGTTGGAAGCTTTCCAATCATGTGACCGCTGTGATAGCCAATCAAGGCAGTCACGTGACCCTAAACTTCCCCTCCCTGCATAACAAACCCCTTAAAGGGCCAGAAGGTGCAGGTACCAAGGGGTTAAGGGAAATCTCTGCTGGTAAAGTAGAAATATAGCCAAAGCTTTTTTTGGCTGTACTACTTCTGTGGATCACAGGAGTGCAGTTCATTCTGCACTCCTGTGACCCGACGTCACAGAGCAAGTCCAGGCCCTGCAAAGATCCCGACCATATGATACCTGGACCAGCAGTTGGCTTAGCCTCTCAGTGAGCCACTGAGAGCCTGAGCCAGCCAATCCCACCTCCCTCACAGCCAGTGAGCGCTGGTGGGGCAAAGCAGAAAGCCGGTGACTATCACCAGCTCTCTGGAGCCTGAAGACCGAGAGCTGAGCAACCAAACTTCTATTTTAAAATATAATTATTATTATACAGGATTTATATAGCGCCAACAGTTTGCTCAGCGCTTTACAATATAATGGGAGACAATACAGTTCAACACGAGGGTTAGGAGGACTCTGCTCCTTGGAGCTTACAATCTAAGAATACATGCAGGCTGCTATTGATGGCTGTTATGCTGAGCCAAAGGCTTTAACACTTGGAGTCTCTAAGCATTTGAATTGTCAGCCCCTTGTTTTTCATAGTACAGGTTTCCTTTAGGCCTTTCCTTCTGTTTATTCTTTTAGAATTGTGTCTGTAAACTCAAATTTTGCCCATGTTATCTCTGGTCCCTTTGTATCTCTGACAGCTGCAACAGAGGTTACAAAAGTGAAAGTTGCCTATTTTCAAGCAGGATATGTAAACTGTTAAAAGGCCCGCATGCTGGTACTACCATCATTTTCTGTACTTGATTCTGCTAGTATATAGTTGCATTTTTTAGCATTGTGCTACCTCTTTTCTAATATACAACAAAATAATTTTTCAACATTTTGACAAATGCTGGAGAGCCGAATAAAGCATTGGCTTCTTTGTGCTATAGCTCTCAGCTGTGCTCCCACACTTTATAATTTTATAGTGCCTTCTGCTGCTCAATGAATCAAACCCTTCTAGTGTAAAGAGAAAAAAAAATACCCCCCAGCATCTTCCAAAAAATTGAAAGAAAAGATTTGTGTGGACTGCTCCTTTTTTAATGGATGTCATTTTTTCTTTTTAAGTTTCTGAACTAAGTGTTTTATTATTTTGCCTGTGAAGAATGTACAGTCTGTGCTTGGTCCTAAAGGATGGCTGATTTTTTCTTTTTCTCTATATTTGCAGACAAGGCCAAACCAAAAACTAAAAAGAAAGAGGAAGCCAGCTCCTTCTTCCAGAGACAGAGGGTAGATGCGTTGCTACTTGAACTCAGGCAAAAGTTTCCACCAAAGTTTGTCCAGGTAAATGTAAAGAGTTGCACAGTGCACAATTTGTTACTATGATTCCTACTGGATCTACTTTTATGCTCCACGTTATTTTGAAACTGAACTGGATATAACTGAAAGCAATCCTTTACCTATAAAAGTTTGATAAAAAAACAAAAGAATTATACATTCCACATTAATATTTATGCTACCAAAATTAGTGTGCTGTAAATTTCCTCCAGCATTTCTCTTGTTTCTTCTTTCTGGAGGCTGCCAATTTGTTGAAGCCGTTAGTAGTCACTTCCTTACTGAAAATAATTTCTCTCTTTTCTTTCTCTCATTAAAATGTCTGAATTCCCAGCCCTCATTTTATGTCTTGATTCAGCTAGAGGGGAAGGCTGACCAATGCTGACAGTATGGTCTCATAGCAAAGGAGAGAATTTCCTTGTACGTTTAACTCTCTAGTGTCTCCCTGGCAGCAGAGTTTGTCCTCTCTCCTTTCCTGCTTTTTTCTTCTCTCTCCCTAATATGTCCTTCCTCAGCATATTTTGTTTCATTCCTGTTTCCTCTCCCCTCAGCAGCAGTAAATTTGTAGGCTGTCAGCTGACTCGCTGATTATCAGCACAGTGTCGAGAATACAGGAGAACTGAGGTTGTGCAGAGCAGGGTGAGATGGGGCCTTACTGGATTTTAAACCGTACAGGCACTTCTTTTTAATGTCTTCCATAGCTGTGTCTGCAAAAGGGGCCAGCATGAAGTGATCTATCAGGATTTCATTTTATGACAAAAGTTTCAGTTTAAAGTTGAACTCCAAAATGAAAAAGATTAAATATGAATAGCTTGTTAGAAAATTAAACAAACCATCTTTTTCTGCCATATTCACTTTTAATCCAAACAACAAAACCAGCTTTTTCTGCAATATTCACCTTCAATTCAAAGATCTCCCCTACAGTACGCTTTCCTGCTGCTAGATGTTCTTAGTCTGATGACCAGTGTTATTCATCCTGCTTATTCTGAGCCCAGGTTGTCTTGGACTTGCAAAGCCTGAGATTGGACAGTACAGGAAGAAGCCGCAAACAGATGAGCTCATCTCTGTCACTCTGCTCTGTCCTCCAATCAGCATGCTTCTTATTACATAAACTGATTGGCTCCTTGTACTGCTTCTTCCTCTCACACTCCAGCCCTGCTGTACAAGAGGCTGATACCAGTCATATTCAGATGCTTACATTCAGTGCTTTTTTTTTTTGGTCTCAGAGAATAGTTGCAGGTACTCACTCAAAACAAGTGTACATCCACTTTTAACAGGAGAATTGCTATGCATTTTTTTAAATAAATCATCATAATTTGCCCTGTGAAAAAAACAAGTCTGCTCAATACTGTTCCCCCTTAGTAATAAAAATAATTTTAGGATGATGATTGTGTCTTATTTTTAAGTTAAACAGGCAGGTCACTTCATTCTCTTTATTTAACCGCTTCCCACCCGCCATATAAGGTAATGACGGGCGCAAGGCGGTTCTCTTGTTCTGGGAGGACGTCATATGACGTCCTCCCATTCTAACCACGCATGCGTGGCTCCGAGTGTGCGCAGTGCGGCGATTGGTGGTGTGCTGTGTGCCTCGGACACAGCGGATCACCGATCAACGGAAAGAGCCGAAGATGTCGGCTCAGTCATGTGATCAGCTGTGTCCAATCACAGCTGATCACATGTAAATAGGGAAATGCCGGTTATCGGCATTTCTCTCCTCACGAGCTGTCTACACTGATGATCAGTGTAGCCCCATCAGTGCCACCTGCCAGTGCCTCATCAGTGCCACATATCAGTGCCTACCAGTGCACATCAATGCCACATATCAGTGCCCATCTGAGCTGCCTTTCAGTGCCCATCAGTGATGCCTGTCAATGCCCATCAGTGCCACCTATAAGTGCCCATCACTGCAGCCTCATTAGCGCACATCAGTGAAGGAGAAAAATCACTTATTTACAAAATGGTATAACAAAAACTAAGAAAAAACTTTTTTTTTTTTTCAAAATTGTCAGTTGTTTTTGATTTATCAAAAAATAAAAAACCCAGAGGTGATTAAATACCACCAAAAGAAAGCTCTGTCTCAAAAAAAATTTCATATGGGTGCAGTGTTGCATGACTGCGCAATTGTCATTCAAAGTGCAACAGCGCTGACCTGAGCAGGAAGGGGGTATAACTGCCCTGTAGGCAAGTGGTTAATTGATGCTTTGAATAACTATTTGTGTAAATTAAGAAGCCTAAAAAACAGGAATGGTGAACCATGAAGACAGGAGTTCTATTATCTGAGTATTGAAATTCACATCTTGGAAAGCACTGATTTATTTTTAATTATCTGATTATTCTCTCTTTTTTTTGTATTGCAGCAAAAACCTGGCGAGAAAAAACCAGTCCCAGGTAGGCTTTCTTCCTGTTTAAACATATAGCAAATTATTATTATTATTATTACATCGAGTTTATATAGTGCCAAAGGGTTTGCTCAGCGCTGTACAATAGGGGGGGGGGGGACAATACATGGCACAGTACAACAATAACAAACAACGTAAGAGGGCCTTACTCTTTCGAGCTTACAATCTAGGAGGGAGAGGGTAATGGTACAGTAGGAAGTGGCTGAGGGGAATGAGGGGTGGGAGGAAAGAGGGAGAATGGCCGTTAGGTGAGGGTAGGGTAGGCTTCCCTGAAGAGATGGGTTTTGAGGGAGCACCTGAATGTGAGGAGGGAAGGCGACAGTCTGATGGATTGGGGCAGTGAGTTCCAGAGGATGGGGGAGGACCTGGGGCTTCTCTAAGAACACATCTGAGTACATGGATTCGGTCTTGTTGGCACTAAGATGTGCAAGCAGGAGAATGAGTTGAGGTGTGCCACTGTACTGTTGCTAGAGTTCATATATTTAGACAGGACATGTGTGACATTGCTGAGATCTTAAAGAAACAAACACATGATTCAGCCAAGAAATATGAGAATCTGTTTATAAAAACTAAGGTTAATAAAAATGTCTGAAATATCTGTAGCTCCACCATCAAACATCACCAAAATGTTTTTGTAATAAATGTCTGTACTAAAGGAGACAGATCTGGAATTATGGTTTTCTGTAGGATTTTGGAGTATAGGATTGCTTTCTGAAAACAAATCTCATTTTCAGATAGTGGAAGACGTTCTGAAAGTCACACATGCATTTCCTGTATCTATCCTTACGTCGGGGACAGTGACATACAGTCCAAATAGAGAATAGCTAGAATATGTTGCTAGCACTTAAGCAAGATATGGATGCCATGGCTTCCAAAGTCATTGACATATAGAGCAATGATACCGTTGTATGATTATATTTGTGTATCTCAGTCCTGAATCTTTCTCCTGAGTCCTAAATGTAATTTTTATTTATTTTTGCTTGCCTAGTCTCTTTTCTAAGAGGCTTAGGACCAGCATAACCAGACATTCTCCATTGAAGCCTTTATGGAATTGCACAAGGTCTGACGCTATCCACTCCTAGCAGATGTATATTTATACAAAAAGACAGAACAGTAGTACTATTGCTAACTAGACCAGCATTTTGTATGTTTTTCACATACTTCCACATAATGATATTTTATACTAGTATTTCATTTGTTTCTAGTTGAACAGATAAAAAAAGAACAAGAGCCACCAGCTGAGGTAGTGGTAAAACAAGAAGAAAAAGAACCGGTTAAGCCACCTCAAGGAGCAACCCCCAAAGGTCCACCGGAGAAGAGAATGAGGTTACAATAGAAGTTGACTTCAGACTTCTTTAAAAAAATTCTCCCTGTATATATAGGTTGTCTTCGTGGACATATCAAGTATATCATGCACGGGCTCTGAACAGCCTGACTGATGACCTATCACATAGGCACCACATCAGTGACTTATGGACTGACAGCACTCTGAAGGAGGACATTTTTCATATCCTATGGGATTAGCTGCAGCAGAGTCCTACAAAATCTGAAACGTGTAAATAGATCTTTATATGGTCAGTTTTCTTTATGGATGAATGTCTACCCTTTTTGATGGGGTGGGGACAGAGTTAATAAAATGTGTTTTTTGTTTTTGTATGTGGCAAACTATAATTGAGTCATTTTATAACTTTATATTATGTTGCTTAATAATACCATAGTGTGAAGCCTGCCCAATGTCGCACGGCCTCTTTGTTAATGACTCATATATTGCTCGAATTCTGTGTGTTTCAATGGGAAAGCCAATCAATGCCTTCATGAGCTGCGGACAGGCTTAACATTGACCTGAGTAGAGTGCTGCTTGACCGTGTGTCAGGAACAAGGTGCAGTAATGGTGAGTTGCTGTGCAGTGTGAGGCAGACTACATAGTAAAGATTGCTGGAGAGCTTTGATGTAAAGGATATTTAAACCCAAAAACAAATACCTGTTATGCATGCCAGAATTCCAGAGTCCTTCCTGTGTACTAAGCTGATATCTCAAACAAGGTATTGGCTTTCCCAGCCATCTTTTGTGAACTTTAGTGCACCTCCTCTATGTATATGGAAATAAGGAGAGTGTGTGTAGTCACAATCCGGATAGTTGGCTGGGGTGACAACACTGCTTATCCATAGATACAGTGCAGTGAATGCGTGTCAGCCTAGGACAGGAAGTGTATTACTGACGTGATCACCAGGTAAAAATAGAGAAAGCATAGTGTCTGACAATATCCTCCACACTGCTGAATGTTTCTATAAGAAGATCACAAACTGCATTGTAGAGCACTACCAAAGACAATGATTGTTTTAAATCTTTTGTAGTATTACATCCCTAATGTTTGGTTTACAATAAACAAAGAAAAAAAAAATCTTTATATTCATCTAAGGCCTCATTCACACAGGGTCTATCGATGTGTACCTTGTGTGACAGCCATGTATACTCACACGAGGATGTACAGGTGTACCATGTATCCCTGTTAGGGCAGTCCCATGGATGTCTATTGGGTTGCAGCTGCTGCATAAACACAGCTGTTGCTCTCAATCTGACATAGGTGCAGGTGTTAATACACTGCTCAAAATAAATTAAAGGAACTATTTGAAAACACATCAGATCTCAATGGGTAAAAAATTATCATGCTGGATATCTATACTGATATGGACTGGGTAGTGTGTTAGGAACGTAAGGATGCCTCATTGTTTGATGGAAAATAAAATGATCAACGTATAGAGGACTAAAATCAAAGTGAAAAAATGAGGCAACAGGCGAATCCATTTTTGCTGAAATTTCATTGCAGCAACTCAAAGTGGTACTTAGTAGTTTGTATAGCCCCCATGTGCTTGTATGCGTGCTTGTCAACGTCGGGGCATGCTCCTAATGAGATGACAGATGGGGGTTTATTTACTAAAGCTGGAGAGTCCAAAATCAGACTCCCTTCTGCATAGAAACCAATCAGCTTCCAGGTTTCATTGCCAAAGCTTCATTGAACAAGCTGAGGTTAGAGTCTGATTTTGGACTCTCCAGCTTTAGTAAATAAACCCCATGGTGTCCTGGGGTATTTCCTCCCAGATCTGGGCCAGGGCATCACTGAGCTGGCCAGTCTGAGGTGCGACAGATCCAGCGGTGTTCTATTGGATTTAGGTCAGGCGAGTGTGGGGGAGCAATTCAATGGTATCAATTCCTTTAGCCTCCAATAACTGCCTGCATGTTCTCACTACATGAGGCCGGGTATTGTCGTGCAGCAGGAGAAAATCAGGACCCACTGCACCAGCGTAGGGTCTGACAATGGGGCCAAAGTTTTCATCCTGATATATAATGGCAGTCAGGGTGCCATTATCTAACCTGTAATGTCAATCAAGCTCTATGGGGCTTGACAGTGAGCACAGAGCCCACTAGAGGACGTTGGGCCCTCAGGCCACCCTCACAAGGTTTGTTTCTGATTGGTCAGAGACATTCACACCAGTGGCCTTCTGGATGTCATTTTGTAGGGCTCTGGCAGTGCACATCCTGTTCTTCCTTGCAGAGAGGAGCAGATACTGGTCCTGCTGATGGGTTAAGGAACTTCTATGGCCCTGTCCAGCTCTCCTAGAGTAACTGTCTGTCTCCTGGAATCTCCTGCATGCTCTCAAGACTGTGCTGAGAGACACCGCAAACCTTCTGGCAATGGCACGTACTGATGTGCCATCCTGGAGGAGTTGAACTGCCTGTGCAATCGCTATAGGGTCCAGGTATCGCCTCATGCTACCAGTCGTGACACTGACCCAAGCCAAATGAAAAACTAGTGAAAAGCAGTCAGAAAAGATGAGTAGCAAAAAAATGTCAGTGGCCTCTACCTGTAAAACCATTCCTGTTTTGAGGGTTGTCTCATTGCTGCCCGTCTAGTGCACCTGTTGTTAATTTCTTTGAGTTTAATTGACTTGATGCTATACTCTGATTAAAAAGTGTTCTTTTAATTTTTTTTAGCAATATAGTTCTGCTGCATCTCATTTAGATGTCAGTGGGACTACCTGCAGGGGGATGAATAGAACACTTGTGTAACCCCGTGTGGGTAAATCCCAACCCTTGCACAGGGTATGAATTTCCAGCTGGTAAAATAAGTATTGAACACAGCACCATTTTTCTCAGTAAAAAAAAAAATATATATATATATATGAAATAGTACACTTCATATTCCAAATGCTGAACAAAAAAAAAATCTAGCACATAGGTGGATATGCTGGACAGGTACATGGTGTTGTTTCTACCTCATTGTGCAATACATATGAGCCACTCAACAAATATCAGAGAAAAAGAGAAGTTAGCCATAGATAGCAAGCAGTAAGGCTATATCAGAAGCACTAGAATTTGCTTGCTATCTTTACCCTCTACCCCAATTTTATGTTGATCAGCTCCACAACTTAAGCACACATCACATTGACTGTACCTATACTGTCAACCATCTGCTTTGTTGTCCTGAGAACCAGAGAGGTGGGAGGTGGCATTGGATTCCAACCACCTGGACTACATTTTTTTAAAATACTTTTTCAGGCATCCCCTGTGTTTATATGTAAGCTTCTCTCTGCATAATGTGAAGGTAATGGCATCATGCCATTGGATGAGTGTGGGAGGGGTATGTGTGAGACACATTTCTGCAATATGAGTTTACGGGGCAAATAAAGAGACCACATCAAATGCATTTCTTCAGGTAGCACCCCCTCTGTAAATGCCCAATAGGGCTAGTGTGGGGTCCATTGTGGAGCACAAGGAATTCAAGGTATCAAAAATATATTTCCAATAGCGATGCAATTTTACAGTATGTATAATTGATCCATTGGCTATGGCACATCTAGGACACAGTGGGGATGATGCTCTTCCCCAAGAGTGGAGTTTCAATGGGGTATACTGTACTCTATGTAGTATGAACAGTTGAGTCAGGCATTGTGAAGGGGAAAGAGAAACTTTTGGTAGCATTTCTAAACCCTGAGTCCACTCCTTATCATCCAATGACACCATATCCTGTTGCCAAGTGGTAAAGCTGTTCACCTGAGTCCTGGCAGTAACTGCCACCTGGAGGGCAGAGTATAGGTTCCCTAAACCCCCATTTAGTACAGGTTGTGGAGGTTGCCATAGATAATACTGTAGAAGGGTTATATTTAAACTGAAATGTGGATACTTGACTCTGCAGCACATGATGCAGATAGTGAAAAAAATATTTGTGGGAAAACTGGTAGTGGTGCAGCAATGATATTAAACGGTAAGAGCACATTGCTCTCATATTTGATAAACTGAATACCAGCCCTTTTCCAATGATCAGATCCCTCCAACTTTTCCAGTTCTGGTAGACAAGGGTTATCCCACAGTGGTATGTACTTACTATAACCCTTATGTTCAGTAATAACCTGTACCGTGATCCATAATTTATGTATCAAATGAAACATTGGGAAAATACGCTTCGCCTGAAATTGGTGAGCCACTACCAGCTGTACAAGTGGAGCTATAGGGAATTGTTACAGAATTATACCCTGTATGAGATCATACAGATTTCAACCATACCAAAGTTGTGGTCGCGAAGCTATAAAATAAAGTAGCGGTAGGTACTCCCAACCCTCTCCCATCCTTCGGCAGCTGCAGAGTAGAAAGTATAATTCCAGGATGCTGGTACTTCCAAATAAGTTGTCTAAATAGAGAGTCAATGGTACAAAATGTGTGCTTTGGCAGCCACACTGGACATTTATAAAGGATGTACAGTAACGCATCCAAACCATTTTCACTAATTTGGCTCTTTCTAGAACAGTAAGGGGCAATTTGCTCCAGATTTTACCCACTTGTTTAATCTTAAATCACAAAGAGGAATCAAATTCCTATCAACGTAATCATTACGTTGTAGTATAACCATGACACCTAAATATTTAAAAGATGTCACTACAGCTATTTGAGCTGCAATGGGTGGGAGGTCAGCTGGAATGGAGTCAAGCGGCAATAAACCCGACTTGTCCCAGTTAATGGTAAAGCCCAAATAGGAACCATACATGTTGATTAGGGACATAGCCGCTACCAGAGAGGATGAGGAGTCACCCAAAAATAATAAGGTGTCATCAGCATACAGTGCCAATTTATTTTCACCTGTGGGTCTACAAAAGCCAACAATATCATGCGATTGGTGAATAGCAGCTGCCGTAGGTTCCAGTGCCAGGGCTAATAAAAGAAGTGACAGGGAACAACCCTGTCTCATCTCTTGATGTAACAGGAAGTAAATATATTTCTAAAGGTGCTTTTGACGCAAAATATTCCGCACATGTTGGTAACAATCCATGAAATCCATACATA